GCTGGCGGGAAAAGGGTGGCCGGCCGCTGATCCAGTGTGGGGCTGGGAGTGGGGGTGAGACGCGGGCGATCCTGAACTCCTGGAAAGGTCCCCTGGACGCGGGAGGAGTCAGGACCAACGCGTCCGGGAGCGCAGGACCGCGGAGGCCGGGTTAAACACGGCACCTCGGGGAACAAAACCGCGAAGGCTAATTAGGACAAGTCAGAACAGAGAACCGGGACGCGGGGAGGGGAGCGCGCGCTGCGAGCCAGGCGGTGTCTGGGGCGGTCACAGGAAACCCGGGCGCAGGGTAGGCGGGCCCCGGGCCAAGCTTGCCCAGGGTCCCGCGTGGCCCTGGGCTCTGCCCAAGGGCTAAGGAGAGCGCGCCGTGGCGCTCCCACGTGCACTTGGTGAGTGGGGTCCCAGGGAAGGGCCGCGCGTGCAAGAGGCGGGCACTCAGTGTGTGGCGTGTCCACGTGTACAAGCTCGGGAGGGGAGGGGGCGCGGAAGGCGTGACAAAGACGGACTTTGTGTCTGAGTGTGCGCCTCGCTCCGGCCTGGAGCAGCGAGCTGTGCCTGGCGTGCGTCCCATGGGAGAACCAGGACGAAGGTGACAAAGGCTGGGCGTCCGCCGCCAAGAGACGAGCCAAAGTTGCCCCCGCGCGAGTCTGTGCGTGCGCGCGTTGCGAGATGCGGGGACAGAGAGCCTTCCCACGGGATGTGCTGGGCTGCACCCCAAACCGCTTTCCGGAGAAAAAGCCGAGCCCAGAAAGTGAGTGCGCGAGAGTGCGCGCGCGCCCGCCTGCGGGGGCGTGGCGGTAAACAGCAACAACCCCCACGCCAGCTCCGCCAGGAACTCCGATCTGCCTCCCTGGCCGGAGTGTGCTACTTGGCGGAGCCTGGAGGTGAGTCCGAGCGGGGCCGCGGGCTTTGTTACCGCGTAAACGGCTTGCACATACCTGGAGCGCTGCGGACGCCCGGTAAGCGCCCGGAATGGAGGTGATGGCACCGCGACGCGGGCGCCGGCCCACCCCGGTGGAGAGAAAGCCTTGAGCCGGAGACGGCTGTTCCGAGAGCGAGGGACAGAGCGCCGCCAGCTCAGGCTGGGGCCCGGGGGAGGCCGGCCCTCCGCCCTGTGCCCCCACAGGTCCCGCCACCCACTTAGGGATGGGCCTGGCCGAGCGCCCTGCGCGGAGTCCCTCCCACTCCGGCCCGCACCCCGCCTGGGGCTGGAGTTGGCTCCAAACGCCGCGCAGGAGCCGGGCTGGCGGCGCTTCCCAGGTAAGGGCTGCTGCCTTCCGCTCCGCCTTCCTTTCGGTCGCCCGGAAGAGTCGAGTCAGACGAGAGGGGAGTGGGCTAGGGCAGAGGCCCGGGCGTGGAGAACCCGCGCACAAGGGACGCGGAGCCAACTGCGCTCGGTCGCTGAAAGTTTCCAAACCCGAGCGGGCTGGGGACTGGGGGTGGGGGAAGGCGGACGCTGCGGCTCGGGTGGAGAGCAGAGGAGCACTCGCAGTCGGGGTCGCCTAGGGGTGCCCTCTCTCCTACCCCCGCCGCCCAGCGGGTGTCCACGGCCAGCTGTGACTTGTGCGTTGGCGTCCTCGTCTGTTTTGGAGAGGACTCCTGCGCAGGTTCCTGTGGCCAGAGGAAATGGAGTGGCAGTTGCTGCTGCTCCTTCAGTCGGAAGGAGCCGGGCAGCGCGCGTGTAGACCCCAGTGTTGTGAATAGGAGTTGAGAGGGAAGGACTCAGGTCTCCTCGAGAGAAGTTGGAATTTCAGACTATCAGAGAGCTTCAGCTTCTGGCAGCCTGGCCTCTAGATAGACGCCCCTACCTCCCTGGCTGTTCCAGGGCCCTTCTGCCCGCTCCCAGGTGGTCAGTTTTACTCTAAGAAAATTTCGTCACGTCAGAATTCCATGATCCTGACCCTGGAACGCGGGAAGGAGACCTTGAAGTCTGGCTTTGTGCTGGAGATGGCCCCTCCGTGCATGACTGGAGGCCTGGAGGCCGGAGTGTGGCTGGGGGGTGGGTGCATTCCAGAGGAACATTCCAGGGGAGACCCTGGGTTGAAGACCTCCAGGTCCCAAGGCTTTTTGACCCAAATGCTCACTCTTAATATGGGGGTTGCTATTGTTTAAATGTGCCCCCCCACCCCCATGTATTGAGCCATAGTAAGAGGGGATTAAGGGTGAGCACTTGATGCAGTTTAGCTGTCAAAGGTGGGGCTTTGGGAAGAGATTAGAAGGATCTTTGGGGTGGAGCCCCATGATTGAGTCAGTTGAGTTTATGAGAGGCACAGGGACCGAGGCACAAGACACAGACCACGCTGTCCTGCCCTCTGTGATGCAGCCCGAAGACCCCCACCAGAGGTGGCTCCCGGACCCAGGACCTCCCAACTGTGAGCTGAATCAACCTCTATTCTCTGACATTACCCAGGCTCGGGTGTTTTCTGGTAGCAGTGGAAAGGACTAGCACAGGGGCCCAGGCTGAGGTTCCCGGGAGCCCTTCTGTCCCCCAAGCTGGGACTGGGGCACCTCCTCCCAGGCACAAGCATCTTCTGCACCCCTTACTGGATGAGTTAAAACACCAGAGCCCCCCAGCCCAGGGTAGCGTGCCTAGGGTGGTGGTAAGATGGTCGGATCTCACTCCGGAGAGGGAGGAGATCCCGATGGGAGGAAGGCCGGTGGTCACTGGGTCTTTGGATTGGCTGCTAAGCGGGCTGGGAGGAAGAGGGGGCTCTGGTATCCCTGGGCGACTCTGCCTCAGATAGGAGGGTTGTGAATGGCCATGGCACCTTGAAGGTAGCCCCTGGCTGGGGGCTGGTCTTCCCCCGTACCCTTGAGCTGGGAGACAGACCAGGGCTGCCCTGAAAGCCCACGGAGCTCTTTCCAGGATGGTATTTTTAGCGTCCCGGGTGGAGAGCAGGGTTCTCAGGAAGCCAGTCAAGGCTGGCTGGGTCGCTAAGCCCCCCAGTATTGCTGAGGCCTCTCTGCTCCCTGCCGGAGAGAGAAAGAGAGGCAAGAGATTTGGGAACAGGCTCGGACTGGCTCAGACCAGAGCCAGGGGCTGGGTGACTGAGCCTGGGGAAGGCCGATTTCAGAGGTGATTAAAAATATTTGTGCTGCTGATTCCGAGGAGATGAATCAAAAGGGCCCTTTTGTCCGGAAAATAATCTGAGGCTGGGGCTGGGCTTCAGCTGCAGCTTGCGGGAAGGAGGGTGGGAGGAGGTGCCCCTCACCCTTCCTTGAATGCTCTGGAGGACCTGGAGCAGCAGATGTGACTCAGATGGAGGAGGCAGGTGGGATGTGGAGGACGGCTCTGCAGCTGTGGTGGGTTAGTGCCGTGGCATTCATGGCGAGGCGGGAGATGGTGCAGGGCTTCAGAGGTCCCACTCACCCTCCCCAAGACTTCCAGTTGTTGGGGAGACAGGTACGTGTGATCGCAGTGTTCAAGGCTCAGAAGGCTGTCTAAGCGCAGGCACTAGGGGTCCACAGGAGACGGATGGGTGCTTCCAGGTCCCTGGGGAAGGGCCTCCAGCCAGAGCTGGGGCCACCTTGCTGGCTGCCCTAGAAAGTGCCATCAGCCTGCCAGTGCGCTGCTGTCTGTGGAAGGGCTGGAGCTGAGCTCCTGAGCTTGCTGCTGGCCTTGGGTCCCCGTCCTAGGTCCTAGTTCCTAGGTCCTAGGCAGTGGGCAGAGCCAGGCCTCACTGGCTTACCTTCCCTCCCCGAGTCTGCCTGTTTCTAAATCCCTTCCCTGTTTTTGGAGGAAGCAGGGAATTAGGACATTTTCAGATGGGAATGGGTTGTCTCGCCTGAGGCCAGTAAGTTTCAGGGCTGCTGGACAGGAGTGGGGTCCCTGGATGGGGCGGGGAGCAGATGCAGGCTTCTGTTAGATTCCGGTTTCCACAGGGGCTGTTGGTGGCAGAGGTGAGACTTGGAGCGGGATCCAGGAGGAAGTTGTTGCTGACCAACAGCAAGGACACGAGGACATGGGGAGGGGGCCGTGAAGCCTGTCTGACTCCAGCCCAGCGCCTGTGGAGTGCTGGGGACTGGCAGGGCATAGACCAGTATTATTAGGGCCAGGTGGGTCAAGAATGGGGCCGTAAGGGTCCCGGGACCTGGCTGGCTTCTGTAATAACATGGCGGTCAGCAGATCTGAACGTGTGCTGTGGGCTTCAGCACCCTCCTCCACGTCCGCCCGGTCCCAGTCCCTACATTTCGGGAAAAGATCTCTCGGATCTGGCCCTTACTACTTCACCTTTGGCCTTGATCGTTAAACCCTACAAATCGACTGCCTGTGCTTTTTGCCAGCCTCCTCTCTTAGGGCTCCTCCCTGCTGTGCCCTCGGGCTGCTGCCATCTGTAGGATAAGGCCCCAACTCCCCCCTTGTAACCTTTTTTTTTTTAATTTTGCCGAAGGGCATGAGACAGAGGGAAGGTGAGAAAGTGCCAGCAGGACGGCCACACCCCAGTCCCCTCTCCATTCTCTCTGGATTTGGGGGGTATGCACACATACTCACCCAACATTTTTCTTTTAAGAGGTTTTTACCTTAGGTGCATAAGAGAGTCAGAGAGAGTGAGAGGGAAAGTGAAAAGTCACCCCCCAGGGAGGATGGCCAGGCAGCAGCCCCCTTCCTCCCTTCTCCTCCCAGGATCTTGGGCAGGCACACAAATGGGCCCGGTGTGATTTTCTCTTTTCTTTCTTTTCTTTTTTCTTTTCTTTCTTTCTTTCTTTCTTTCTTTTTTTTTTTTTTGAGAGAGAGAGAGAGAGAGATTTTTGCTATAGGGCGCATGTGCTCACCAGAAAGACAGAGAGAGACAGAAAGCAAGCAATCACTACCCCGGGGTGAATGACCATGCCACAATCCCTTCTCCACCATTTTCTCGGGATCTTGGGCATGCACGCACATGTGCCCAGCTTGAGTTTAATCTACTGGGTCTGGGACTTGAACCGAGGTTTACTACATGGGAATCCAATGACTTAGCCATTATGCTAACTGCTTCTCACCCCCCCACACACCCCCGTGTGATTTTCAATCCACTAGGTCTGGGACTCGAACCTTCGTTGGCCATATGGGAGTCCAGCGATGTAACCTCTAAGCCATCTGGTGGTCCCAACCCTCCTTGTTTTTCAAGGTGCTGGTCCAGGCTCAACAGCTTAGTGGGCCTCCTGGGACCAGCCTTAACCAGCTGGTCTGCCCTGTAGCCTCCCTAATCTGTCCCCCGCCAGCTGCAGCCTACCTTCATAACCTCGGTCCACACTTGTTGAACTTGATTTTTTGTCTTGCTCTGAGCTTGGGCTCACCCCAGGGCTTTGACTCCAGCCACCTTCTGCCTCTCCCTTCCTCTCCTGATTCCTTTCACCTGCCCAACCCCCACCGCATTCTTCAGGGCTTAGTGTCTTTGTGTCCCTGTCTCCTGGCAGCATCTGGGACATGGTACACTCTTAATAAATACCAAATAAAAAGGTCTGCTGTCGGTCTCCCTCAATCCCCGCAGCAGGAAGGCCCTCCTGGTCCGTGCCTGGAGCTCCCTCCCCACCGCAGGTACATTCCCTGGTGGGGCCCTGTGTCATCTTCCCGTGTGATTTTCTGTGTACCTACCTTATCTCTATTAGATTTTAAATACCATCGAGCCAGGGAGTGTGTTCGCCTTTGCATTTTCCACAGCTTTGAGAACAGCAGGGCCTAGTTCCATCCCTGGGCAGTATTTATTTGCTGATTTATAAAAATTGCCCTGGGGGCCAGCAGGTGGCATGCGAATTAAGACGCTGAACTCCTGTGTGGTTGACCCTGGTTCATATCCTGGACCTGTTGGCTCACTTTCTCTCATTCTCTCTCTCTGTCTGTCTTTCTCTAGTGAGCATACATGCCCTATGATAAATTTTTAAAAACTTAAAATAATGATAAATAAGAGTAAATAAATAATTCTTTTTAAAAAAGTGGAAGAATCGCCCATTCTAAACTGGGGCCTGGCAGGGGAGGTGGGTGAGAAGCCCATAGCGTACGAAGTCCGGAGACTGACTCGCTGGTCCTCTTCAATATTCAATTCCACGTTCCAAATTCTGATGGTTCTTTGGACCCAAAGCACCCAAGGTGGAGTTAAATGCCAAGGCCCGTAGCATGTTGTCATCCTGAAACAACCTCACGGAGTGGTTCAGTGTAAGGAAGAATGGCCACATCGCAATCCCTTCTCCATTCTTCTCTTCGGATTTTGGATATTGACATACACACATGCACTTGGCGTGATTTTCAAGCTGCCGAGTCTGGGGCTTGAACTGTGGAATTGCCATGAAGAAGCCAGTGCCTTAACCTCCATACCCATCAGCGGGCCCCTTCTTTTCTCTTTCCCGCACTTGTGAATGCAGTTGGTTCTCTGATTTGGATTACACAAAGCCCTCTACAAAAGCTTATTTAAGTCTCTACTGTGGGGGAAACATGCTTTGCATTTTAAATGAAGAGAAACTAAATGTTAAATGCTGGTTATTTAGGAAAACAATAGTAAATTTACATAAGAATGTTAACTTTATTAGTTAAGAGTTACTGATAACTATTTATGGAAAAGTTCCCCTGTTGAAAAATGAGAGGGGATGGGGACCAGGAGAGGGGCTCAGGGGCCAGGTGGGGGCACAGAGGCTTCTTAGACACACCTGGGAAAGGTTTGTATCCTGGACCCCAAGGCAGGCCAGGCAGGTATGAGTGTGTCATAACTGATTGGGGCTAGGCTGAGCCTGGATGTGGGTCGCCTGGTGAAGATTCTGTTGGGAGTGATTATTTTTTTTCTTCTCAAGAAATAACAAGAGAGGGACCAGCAGTTAGCCTAATTGCTATGTCGCTGGGCTCCCATGTAGTCGACTGCGGTCCCCCCCCCAGGGGGGGTGATTTCTCGCCTTCTGTCTCTCTTTCTGGTGAGCACACGCGCCCTGTAGCAAACCCCCCTAGCCCCCTAAAAAAGGATAAATAACAAGAGAAAACAAAGAAGAAAGAGGAAGACAAGAATGCCTTTTAAAATATTTACTAAGAATGTGAATTTCTATTTCTTTATTTTGTTTAATTTTGCTATAAGATGTGTTCCCAGGAGGGAGGGGAAAGTGAGAAAGCACTCCACAGGGTGGTGGCCACACTGCAGTCTCATCTCCATTCTCTTGGGATTTTGGGTACGCATGAACTCGTACCTCGTGAGTTTCAAGCCACCAGATCCTAGACTTGAATTGTGGGATCCAGCTACCTTCACCACCACGGCACCTGGCTGGCCCAGAGATTCATTTCTCTGGATTTTAGTAAGCGTTCTTCCACTAAGCAGTATGGAGAGCTTTTTCTATATATCGAGATTGATCATTTTGCTGGCCTGTTAGAAATCAAGTGGCCAACAACAATGCCAACAGGAAGGAGGGGAACTGCAAACCACCCTCCCTTCCCAATAAGGGGAGTGGGAGGCAGGAGGAGGGTTGGGCCCAGCGAGTGAGTTGGCGTTCCCCTGCCGGCCTCTAGTGGGCGCCATCAGCCCAGGAGAGCTTGGTTGCCCTGTTTCTGGAGAGAGGTCGTGGTGAGACCGGAAGAGGGAGGGTCCTACCCAGTTATTTGAACATACGGGGTGATTTAAATGTGGCGTACCTACATTTCAGAGTTTGGGAATTTATAACTTGCTTTTTATAGCCCTTATTTTTTTTAGATTTTGCCATAGGGCACATGCACTTGTTGGAGAGACAGAGGAGAGGGGAAGTGAAAAATCATGCTCACTCTGCTCTGCTCTTGGGATTTTGGGCACACACGCATGTGTGATTTTCAAGCTGCTGGGTCCAGGACTCAAACCGTGCATTCTGCCATGGGGGATCTAGTGCCTGACTACCACGCCACCCACTGACCCACTTTCACTTTTTAAAAATTTATTTCTTTGAGAGTGAAGGACCAAGACAGAGAAAGCAAAGCACCCTCAGCAGGGTCTCATGCCCTGACCTCCTCCCCCCGCCTTCCTAGCCAGCTGGGGTCCCAGGCACGTTTGCCGGGGCATGTACACGCTGACCAGGAGACTGAACCTCGATCTCCCACGTGGACCCAGCCCTGCACGAGCTGGCCCGATGTCAGGTCCTCTGCACGTACATGCGGAGAGCATCTTAATCTCTGTCACCCCGTCACGCCCGTTACTGCGGTCACAGGCTGAGCTGATTGGTGTCGAGGTTTTCCTGGTTGGTGCTGATCTGCAGCGTTCCGGAGCCCACCCAACCAGGAGTAATAAGTTACCTTCCTGGCGTTAATAAAAGACGCCTTTCTTGCCTTCTCCCTACCTTGTCTTAAAGTCTTTCACCAAAGATTAATCCCTGGGGGTTTTGCATTGTCCTTCCCTGGTTCTTGTTTCAATGTTAGCGCCTCGGTGGAGAAGTTTTGCAGACCTAGCTGGAGGGTTAGGCTAGCTTAGCCGTGACTGCCGCATCTGAACTGGACAAGAATCTCAGATTTGAGGGAACCAGCAGTTAGCGTAATGGCTACGTCGCTGGACTCCCACGGAGTCGACCGCGGTTCGTGTCCCCGACCCGGTGGCTTAAAACTCACGCCGGGGGCGTGTGCGTGTGTGCCCAAGATCCCGAGAGGAGAATGGAGGAGAAGGGATTGCGGCATGACCATCCCCCCTGGGGGGTGATTTCTCGCTTTCTGTCTCTCTGTCTGGCGAGCGCACGCGCCCTACAGTGAAAATCTCTCTCAAAAAAAAAAAAAAAGAATCTCAGATTTGGCATTACAAGTGGGGACATGAAGGGAGCAGTGGGTAGTGGGAAGAATGGAGGGGAAGGGCTGAGAAAGAGAACTTTCAGCTCGCCCCATTTCTTTCTGGCTGCAGGTTATGGCTGCCACAGGGTGCTTGTTAGGGACTTGTCGAATGAATGGGAGCGTAGCTGGCGGGCTGTGGACTTAGAGGTCACAGGGTCAGAGTTTAGGGGCCCAGTATCTGACCAGGCCGAGAGCAGCGAGCAGCGGTGAGTAGCTGCTGTGTTTTGGTCTCTGCTTGCTCACAGCACCGTCACCCCAGTAGCTGGGCTATCTCAGAACATCGGCGCCCAGGCTGTGGTTGGTGGGACCACGTATTCAGGGACAGTTGCAGGCCCTCCCGGGGGTTTGTGCTCAGAAGGGTTCTGAAGCTCAGAGTCTCATGGTCACCTAGCGCTGTCCACTCTGGTTCAGGATGGGGGGCACAGCCCCTTGTCTGTCCGAGGCCGCCCCTGAAGAACACTCTGAAGGACTGATTCTGTGCTTTCTCCTTCTGTCTCAGGGACCCAGCTGGAGCCTGGCCTGGGAGCCAGGATGGCCAACCCCAAAGCCTTGCTCATATGCCTGGGACTGCTGCTCTTCCTGTTCCCGGGGGCCCGGGCCCAGAACCATGCCCCTCCGGGCTGTAGCCCGGACCTCGACCCCCTCTACTACAACCTGTGCGACCGCTCTGGGGCTTGGGGCATCGTCCTGGAGGCAGTGGCTGGCGCGGGCATCGTTACCACGTTTGTGCTCACCATCATCCTCGTGGCCAGCCTTCCCTTCGTGCAGGACACCAAGAAGCGGAGCCTGCTGGGAACTCAGGTGTTCTTCTTGCTGGGGACCCTGGGCCTCTTCTGCCTCGTGTTTGCCTGTGTGGTGAAGCCTGACTTCTCCACCTGCGCCTCTCGGCGCTTCCTCTTCGGGGTCCTGTTTGCCATCTGCTTCTCCTGCCTGGTGGCCCACGTCTTTGCCCTCAACTTCCTATCCCGGAAGAACCACGGGCCCCGGGGCTGGGTGATCTTCACCGTGGCCCTGCTGCTGACCCTCGTGGAGGTCATCATCAACACGGAGTGGTTGATCATCACCCTGGTCCGGGGAGGTGGCGAGGGCGGCCCTCCGGGCAACGGCAGCGCCAGCTGGACCGCGGTGTCCCCCTGCGCCATCGCCAACATGGACTTCGTCATGGCGCTCATCTACGTGATGCTGCTGCTGCTGGGCGCCTTCGTGGGGGCCTGGCCCGCCCTGTGCGGCCGCTTCAAGCGCTGGCGGAAGCACGGGGTGTTCGTGCTGCTCGCCACGGCCACGTCCGTCGCCATCTGGGTGGTGTGGATCGTCATGTACACCTACAACAACAGGCAGCGCCACAGCCCCACCTGGGACGACCCCACGCTGGCCATCGCGCTTGCCGCCAACGCCTGGGCCTTCGTCCTCTTCTACGTCATCCCGGAGATCTCCCAGGTGACCAAAGCCAGCCCAGAGCACAGCTACCAAGGGGACATGTACCCCACCCGGGGCGTGGGCTATGAGACCATCCTGAAGGAACAGAAGGGCCAGAGCATGTTTGTGGAGAACAAGGCGTTTTCCATGGACGAGCCGACCTCAGGTAGGACTTGGGGCCCCTCCGTCACCCCGTCCTTCACCCACACCTTTATGTTTAATTTGCCAGAGGGTGTGTGCACTTGATAGGGTGCGGGAGGGGAAGACACCGCCCAAGGGCACAGTCACTGCAGTCTGTGGTCCCCTGTCTCTTTTTCTGGGGATTCTGGGCACACATGCACACAAACCGCCGGGTCCGGGACTCGAACTGTGCTGTCAGCCATGTGGAACCAGCCACCTTAGCCACCAGCTGGCCCAAACCCCTGTCTTTTACTTCAAGACAGGGAACCAGTCTCTGGAGCAAAGTGGAAGGTTCTTGAGGTTACCTGCAGTGTTCTGCTTCTGAGTCCCTAGGTTTAATTTTTTTCAAAAGGTTTCCCTCATATTCATATAATCATGAATATACTCTCAAGAAATTTCACACATCATAGGGGCTGGCCCTATGGCCTAGTGGTCAAGGAGCTAGATAACTCAGTTCGAATCCTGCCCCAGGAGCTTGAAAAACACACCGGTGTGTTTTTTGTGCATGTGTGCCCAGAGCCCAGTGGGACAGAGAGCTGTAGGAGGGATGGCGGTGTGGACATGCCGTGTTGAGGTGTGCCTCCTCCCCTCTCTGTCTCTCTGGGGACAGACACCCTCTGACCTGGTGCCCCACCACCGCTGGCTCCTGCACTTGTCCTGCTTTCTTAGACATCAGTGTGGCTCTCTGAGCCTGCCCGGTTTGTACGTCAGACTTCATCGGCTCGGTGGCCTGGTGGTTGAGGCTGCTGGATCTCACAGGGCCACGTTGTAGTTCGAGTCCTGGACCGGGCAGCCGGAGACACATGCTGAGCCTGTGTGGCTGCGTGCCTACAATCCCAACAGGAGGGAGAGGTGGGGAGAAGGGACTGTGGCGTGGCCATGCCCCGTGGGGGGTTCTTTCCCCACTATCTCTCTGTCTTTGCCAGGGCTGTTCCCACATCCCCTAGCGCACACCGCACATGGATGTTCAGGGAGAGATGCATGTAGGATATGGTGCTGTCTGCTGGGGTCTTGGCACACATGCCCTGCCGTAAGGGGAAGACTGCCCTGTTAATGTTCTTCCCGAACTTGTTTTTCTAGTACTTTTGTATCCCAAATCAGCTCAGTTTCTTTTAATAAAAATATCTTGTTTAGTTTTTTCTTTTTTTAATTTTTTCTTTAGAGAGAGAATTTTTCTACAGGACATGCGTGCTTTCTGGAGAGACAGGGGGAGACAGTGAGAAATCCCCGTCCTGGGTGATTTGCCACACTGTGACCCCTCCATTCTTCTCTCAGGATCTTGGGCACACATGCACATGTGCCCGGCGTGAGTTCTAAGCCATTGGGTCCAGGACTCAATCCATGGCTGACCATGTGGGAGTCCAGCAACGTAACTGTTACGCCATCTGCTGGTCCCAAGTTTTTTTTCTTTTTTTAATTTAAAAAGTATTTTTTCTTTTAAATTATTTATTTAATTTTATTTATTCATTCATTCATTTTTAATTTGACTAGAGAGATGCACAGAAAGAGAAAGAGAAGGTGAGAGAGCAAGCCACCAGGTCCAGGACTTGAACCATGGTCAGCCATGTGGGGGCACCCAGCACCTTAGCTACCACGCCACCTGCTGGTCCCTTTAAAAAGTATTTTAATTTTAGATTTAAATTTATCTTGTGCTTTAAATAAAAACACTGTGGTGCCACCCAGGGATCGTGGCACCTGCTCCATCAGGAGCACTTAGTGTGTGTGTGTGTTTAAGATTTTTGCCATAAGGTGTATACATTTGCTAGAGAGAGGAAAAGTGAGAAATCACCCCCCCCCGGGGGATGGCTATGCCACAATCCCTTCTCCTATTCTCCTCCTGGGATTTTGCACACGGTACACATGCCCTGCATGATTTTCGAGCTACCAGGTCCAGGACTCGAACTGCAGTTGTCCATGTGGGAGTCCGGTGCTTTACCCACACCACCTGTCCCCATGCACAAGTGTTTATGAGCACCTGCTATGTGCCGGGCCCCACACTGCCTCCCTTCTGGTAAGCCGGGTGCCTACACCTCACAGGCATCTTGGCGGCTGCCTGCAGCCTTGTCACCGAGCTGAACCGGAAAGCCGGAGGTATAGTTCAAAGCCCTGACCCCGGCCCTGGACTGTGCTCATCAAATGCCTTGGGTTTAAGGCCATCCTGACTGCCCGGTTATCATGTACCTGGGCAGGGGCACTGGGTGTTCCAGAAACTGAGACATCCCTGTCGCTACACGTTGTGAGATCTGTAATCCCTTCTTTGGGAAAGAAGTGACCCTGGTCCTGGCGGGCTCTTGATCTTTGGTCTGCCCACCCAGACTGAGTGCTGCTGCACCCTGGGGTGTTCCTGGCACACAGCAGGGCCTGCAGGAGCGAGGTGGCCAGTGGAGGGGGGAGGGCTCCACCCCGCCCCCACCCCCGCTGGCGCCCTGCTCCCTGTTCCTCAGGGCCACATCGTTCTCAGCCTTTGTCCTCTCTCAGCAAACACTCCTGGGGCTGCGAGTTTTTATTTCCTTTTTTTCCCCTAAGTGGAAAAATCAATAGAGCAAGCCCAGCACTTAGGAAGCCCGGAGGAGGATGCAGGGCCTCGGCCGCTGTGGCAGGCCTGCTGGAGCGATGGCCGCACCACCTTGCAGAGGCCTGCTTCTCAGTCCAGGCCCATCCAGCTTCCCGCAGGTGCCCTGGCACTGCCCAGCAGGGGGCACCGCATCGGGAAACCAACACCCCAAGGCCCAGGGAATATTCCTGGAGCTGAAACGGCTCTGGAACCCGGCCAAGGGGCCACAGGATGGGCTGTACCCTTGGCTTCCATGGCCAGGCCTGGGCTGCAGTGGGGGACTCAGGACTCACTCTGCCTTGTGAGACAGAGTCTTGGGCTGAGGGTCCCCGTGTCCTTAACCCAGGCCTGGCAACCAGCCCGAGCTGGAGAGGCTGGAGCTGGAGGCTGGCCATCTTGGAGGGCAGCCGAAGGCCATGTGCACCTCTTGGCCTCTGGCCCCGGAGAGCGGATGGGGACGCTCAGGTTGCTGAGTGAGCGTTTCTCCGAGCCGCTGGATGAGGGGAGGGGGGTCCCACGTAGGAGGGAGGCCAGGCGGCATTGTACTCCCTCGTGCATCTGTACCCAGGGGTTCTGAGCTTGGGAGGGGCTCCACATCCACAGTCTTGCCCCAAGACTGGTCACTCCTGGGTGTTACGCCAGGGTGGGCCTGGCCCCCTCTTCCCTGCCCTCTGGAGAGCCTGGCAGGGGCTGTCGGGGGGTGAGGAAGGGAGCTGGGAGCCCAGGGAGCCTCAGACCACTGCTGTTCTCACTCACAGCCAAGAGACCAGTGTCCCCGTACAGCGGGTACAACGGGCAGCTGCTGACCAGCGTGTACCAGCCCACCGAGATGGCCCTGATGCACAAAGGCCCGGTGAGTGGGTCCCCAGGCCCCGTGAGCCAGGCGCAGGGGGACCACAGAGCCCTGCAGGTGGGGCAGAGGGCCGGGCGGCCAGTGGCGGGTGGATGTGCAGGGGAGACGGGGCCTTTGACTGGTGCATCCACCCAAGAACCTAGAGCCCCTGTTCGTGGCGCCGACATGTCTGCTGCTGTCAGCTGCGTCGCAGTGGGACCTGTGTGTGTCTCAGGGGTGCCGTGTTGGGCTGGGGCCAGGTGCTGTAGGGAGTCGAGCTGGTAAGAGCGGCTGGCTTGACCGCGGGAGGTTGGCAGGGAGAGCGGATGGTCTCAGCCAGGTGCTCCCGGAGGGCCAGGGATCACGTTTAGACAGGTAGTGACTTCTGAGCCACAGCCGTCCCGAAGGCCTCAGCTCGTCCCTGTAGCAGCTCCCTGGGTTCGGAAACCAGATGCTGCAGTAGCCACGGGAGAGTGGGAACAGGAAGACGGTGGCTTGGAGTCTCCCTCCCCCGGCTGGCAGTGGCTCTGGGGAGAGGTCAGTGACCTGCCTTGGCAGGACGCTGAGAACAGGAAGCTAGGAGGTCAGCGGGGTGGCGTTCCCATCACCCCCAGCCCTGCCCTGGTCTGGGGACGGAGCAGGGAGAGCCACTGGGTCTGGAACTTGAGCCGTGCTTTGTCTGAGCCTGCGGCCAGGGGCTGTGATGAGCAGAGGCCCCCGGACCGCGGACCCTGGGCCTGGGCCCCCGTGGCTGCCGCAGAGCCCACTCCCTGGCAGCTGCCCTCACTCGTCACCCCGGAGCCCTGGTGTGTTTGGGTCCTGCTTCCTCAGAGCGGTGGCCTGGGCTCACTGGCCACATTTTATCTGCTGGTTCATGAGCACTGTCCCCAGCCCCTGGCATAGCCTCACCTGGGACGTGCTAGGCATGTGACCGGGGGGGGGGGGCAGGGGTGCGCTGTCAGCCCCTGGTGACATCGCCTTGTCTCTGAGGTCACCCCTGGCTGCAGGTGGGTGTGGGCTGACAGATGGTGCAGGTAACTCCGGTACGCACCAGGTCTGAGACATAGACCCACATGTCCCTAAGGCCACCCAGGAGTACGAGATTACAGACCCATGGGCCACTGGGGCTTGAGTACCCTGAAGGCTGGTTTGGGCCAGGGAGCTCCAGAGGGCTAGTACCAGCTCTTGTCCAAGGGCTAAGGCAGGTGGAACCAGGAATTCACCTTCCCTACAGATGGGAGCTGGGACGGGTGCCTCGGGACCCTCCATGCTGATCTGCCCACGGCCGTGGTCTTTGGCCTGCACGGGCACGGCCCAGGTTGCAGGTAGAGCCGGCTTAAAGACTCAGAACTGGACCGGCCAGCCCAGGCTCCTGGCTGAGATGGGTGGGCTCACCAGAAGGGCGTCCTTGGCCGGGAACGCCAGCAGCCAGGGTGGTGTTGTAGCAACAGTCACGGGGCTGGGGTAGGATTCTTGGAAGGCAGGGGCCCTGGCAGCTTTACCTGACAGGCCCGAGCAGCTCTGGTTCACCCCCCACGGGACCTGAGGTTCCCCTGAGTGGAAGAAGGAGAGGGCTGGAGAAAAGGCTCTCCCTCCATGAAGTCCTGGGACCCCCAAGGTGACCAGGGGCCTCGTTCTCAGGCCCAAAGGCAGGGGGAGATAAGGGATGTGGGTCACCTTGTCTGTCTGCAGAGGTGGAGTCCACCCCTAGCTCCACTGGGGCCCGGCCAAAGGGGGTCAGGGCAGGAGGGGAGCTGGCAGGCACGGCCCTGCAGGAAGCAGGGTGTACATCCGCCAGCGGAATCTGGCTCCCGTTCCCCCGGCTGTGAGGCCGCCTGTTCTTCCTTCCAGGCCGAAGGAGCCTACGACGTCATCCTCCCACGGGCCACCGCCAACAGCCAGGTGATGGGCAGTGCCAACTCGACCCTGCGGGCTGAGGACATGTACGCGGCCCAGAGCCACCAGGCGGCCACCCCGCCGAAGGACGGCAAGAACTCTCAGGTCTTTAGAAACCCCTATGTGTGGGACTGAGTCGGCGACAGCCAGGTGTAGGGGTGGATTGAGGAGAGCCCTCGGACCTGGCCTAGGCAAGGGACTCCCCGGGACCCCTGTGCTCTGTGGCTATCCCTTCCTGCTCCTGGCTCGGGCAGCTTTGCCTCAGAGCTCGGAGGGTCTCCCCACCTGCCAATGTTCGGGTGGGTGTCCCAAGTGCCCTACCCACTGCTCAGTGTTTGGGAGCCGAGGAGCCAACTTCAGCTTCATGCCAGGGCCGCTCGGGTGGCCAGGCTCCCGCCAAACAGTGTTCTTCTCGGTGGCCGGTCAGTGCCTGCGGTCCCTGGAGACTCCTGCAGCCTCCAGACGTGGCCCAGGTGCGCCGGCCGGAGTCCTGCTCCTCTGTGAGGAACAAGGATGCCTAATAAACTTGTTTCTGCTTTATTAACTCTTGCTCTGGGGTCATGGTGTCTCATCTGGGCTCTCGGCTTGTGGTGGACTGCTCCCTCACCGTGGGCTGTGGGTGCTCCCTCTCGCTCCTTCCTCTCAAATCCAGCTCTCACTTAAGCTGCCGCTGGTTTCCTCCTGCGCCGTTCCACGGCTGACCTCTGCCCAGGGAAGGAGCCTTTCGCAGAGGCTCCACTCGTGTCGTATGTGACCAGGACGATCATCTGGGCCAGCTCGGCCTGGAGTGCCTCCCCGTGTGGGCTCACTTCCTCTGAGACCCCCCTCTGGCTGTCCATGGGGACGGAACAGGGAGCAGACGCCCCAGCAGGCAGTTCTGCATGTAAGGGAAGAAGGGCCATTTCAGCTCCTGGGAGAGTGATAGTAAAGACCCGGGCCTAGCACGTGGCGCGGAGGTTAAGGCACCTGGAACCCACATGGCCAGCTGCGCGATTCAAGTCCCATACTCGGGGGCTTGAAACACGCCAGGCGCCTCTGTGTCCCTGCCCACATCCCAAGAGGAGAGTGGAAGAGAGGAGAGTGCAGGGTATCATCCCCCCGGGGATGACTTTGTCTCCCTCCTCCGCCCCACCCCATCTTCTCTCCAGCAAACACACTCGCCCTATAGCGACATTAAAATTAAACAAAACATCCTTTAGTGGAGACAAGGTCGAGAGCCGTTCTCCATGCGCCGTGAGATCCCACTGCAGTGTTTGTGGGAGCAAGCGGCTCGGGAGGCCCAGAGCAGTCTTACCAAGTGGGTTTCCAAAGGCGGGGAGGCCAGGCCAGGTACTGCTCAGCGTCTTTCTTGGGCGGCAAGGAGAAATGTCCATTTTCAGTGCGTCACAGTAAGCGAACACCTTTCCACATCAGCTGGTTTTAGTCCCTGCCCTGGGAGGTGGGCAGGACTGCTGTTCTCTCCCCTGTCCACAGTCCCAGTCCCCAAATCACGCCATCATTTTGGGACCAAGCGGCCTTCGGGGAGGTACCCTGCCACCTCCCACAAGGAGACCCAGGCCAACCCAGAGAGACCACCTAGCCTCCAGAGAGCCAGGCCAAAGCCAGCCACCCACCTGGGCCACTGTGAGCCACCCTGATGGCCAGGGGCTGGGACAGCGGCGAGCCTTGGACACTGGCTCCAGATTTTGCAAGACAGATCCCAGGCCTACCCCTCCTAGGCAAGGAAGCGTTTCTCCCCAATTAGCCCAGAGCTATTTTCTGACATCGCTTGTAGGAAAAAATGTATTTTTGTTGAAACGAATAGAAAGGTTACCAGAAAAAAAATTAAATCTAAACTTCTCCTTTTATGCTCAGCATGCACCAGCCCCCTGGGGAGTGAAATATTTTTAATATTTTTTTTTTCCCGAGAGAAAGCTTTGTTATAGGGCACATGCACTCGCTAGAGAGGCAGAGAGAGAAATCACCCCCCAGGGGGGATGGCCACACCACAGTCCCCTCTCCTCCTCTCTCCTCACGCGTGCACGTAATGCCCAGTTTGAGTCATCAGGCCCAGGACTCGAACTGTGGCTTACTATGTGGGAGTCCAGTGCCTTAACCACTATGCCACCTGCCGCCCCACCGCACTCCCCCTCTTTTTTTTTTTTTCCAGTAAAATCCATTACTTAGTCCCCATGTGGCAGGGTCCTCTGACTTGTTCTTTCTGGTCACTTTAGGCTCAGTCCCCGCAGAGTAAGACGCGGTGGTAGACGCCCGTTTCCCTGGATGGCACGTCGTCGTCTGGCCCTCTTCCTCTACCCAGGCTGGGCAGGGCAGGCCCCGCACCTTCCCTCCTGTCATCGGAGCTGGGAGGGACCGGAGCCACCAGACTGAAGCAGTGGACTGAGTGGGAGCCCCATGAAGTCCGAGGCGGGTGACATGGGCTCTAGGGCCACCCCCTTCCAGCCCAGTCTCTCCTGGTCGGTGGCTGCAGGCAGCTCTGCAGACTCCTCGCCTGCCTCTGTTTCCCTCTTTAGACCCCTGTCCCCCGATCACAGCTCCTGCTATGGCTCTCCCCCCGTGCACGGCAGTCCTCGGGGTCCCTGTCTGCAAAGCTGGCCAGGCCAAGGCGGTGTCACATCAGCTCGTCCACTCTGCCTGTGGGTCTCCATGAGTCAGGAGCACCCCGCGCAGATGTTGGGCCTCATCCTTCTCTCCAGGGCCTCCTGCCACCTGAACTGCAAGGTGGCTGAGTCAGGGCAGAGCCCAGCGAGGCCTGGACAGATGCTGCTCCTCTTCCTGGCCTCCGGTCTCAAGTCCAGCCCCTGTGCACTGGGACCTGGGGCCTTCCTGCCTTCACTGAACCGGGTCCTCCCAACGAGGCAGTCCCAGCCGTGCCTGTTTTCTGCTCCCAACTTCACCTCACCGTCGGGGCTAAGGTCCCAACCAGGACGCTCTCTGTCCAGTACTACCTCACCGAGAGTCTCACAGAGCAGCCCGGGAGTCGGTGGCGTTGGGGTTCAGTGCCATTGAGAGCCTGCAGACTCCCCGGGGCTTCTCTGCCTTCGGTTTCTCAGGAAGGTGGCTCCAGGGGCAGGTGCCGTGTGAATGCCCCCGAGCTACCAGATCTCAGACTTGGGAGTGCAGCAGGGGCCGGCTGTGGCTACTGGGACATCGGCACAGACCGGAAGCACCCTTGGGAGACACACGGTGGGGCGGCTGGACTGTATCCCAGGGACCAGGCGGGAGGCCTGAACTGATGACCTGAGGTTGGCCTCTCCCATGAGTTAACCGTGGGCCTTGGGGAGGCGCCTTCGGGAAGAGGAAGCAGAACTAAAGGTGGTGGGTACTGGATGGGCAGAGGTAAGTTTCCACCTTGCCTGATGGCAGGGGTTCCTGCCACCGGCTCACTGCTCTCTCGCTGGAGGAGCCTCGTGTCCTTGGCCTTAGGACACACTGCAGAGGGTCCTGATGGCCACCCTGGAAGAACGGACCTCTCAGGACCTACATGATGCCAGCTCTGGGGACAGATGAGCACAGCTTGAGACTTGAGAAGCAGGATCTCTGTAGCGTCCTCTACCCTGGCCTTGTCCTGCGAGTGTACCTGACAGCCGGCTTGTCCAAGGGAACCCTCCCTAGTGTGCCCCTGGGCTGTCCTCAGCCCGGCACACCTGGGTGTCAAGGCTGCGGGTAAGGGCAAAAGGAACTCTTGGGGTAGAAGCGCCCTGTAGTCAGCCCCACTGCCCTCCAGGGCCAACTCCTGTCCCCAGCAGCCTGTGCCTTCGTCACTGGAGTATTGATGCAGAGCTGAAATGGGTGACAGCCCCGGAGAGTAGGACTACCCCGTGTGCGACCCCCTTCACTGTCACCTCTTCCTCGCGCTGGCTTGGTCATTCCACGAATAGAGGATTACCTCTTCTGATGGGTCGTGGGCTCCTGGTCTAGGATGGCAGCCCCAAGACCTCTGAAAGTGACAAAGGTGCTATTGTGCTTTTCACACAATGGTGACAGTTTCATCGGTCACAGGGAGCACCAGGTGGCCAGAGGTGCAGCTGCGGTGACCCTGGGTTGGTGTCTAGCGTGATGGGTTCCTGGATTCAGAAGGCCGGGTCCTACGTACACTACAGCCCCTTGACCGAGTGCAGGAGACAGGTTTTGGTGGGAGAGAAGCCTTCGTCCATCACAGCAGACCTTGAACGGGGTCTAAGCGGGACCTGTTGCAGGCTCTTCCGGACTGCACCGAGATGAATTTCACGCCCACCACGTCAAACCGGGCAGCTGGAAGCACAGGAGTGTGGATGACAACTGCTCAGAATTAAATGATTTGTCTTCCGTTTGTGAGGGTTCCTGCCTCTGAATTCCTGCATGTTGATGGGTTTATTGATACGTATTTTCCCCCAGATCCCTGGCTTTCTACACCAACAAAGGCTGTTTGATTCCAGCTAACTTTTTTTTTTACTGGTTAGGCATTTATCCTAGGAAGAAAACCAGGCCACCAGAAAACAGCTCGTAACCAGACCATCCCAGAAACCAGCGACCCCTGCACTGGAGTGGAGTGGGGGAGGAGGGCCCCGAGGGTGGACAGCTCCCCTAGGAGCAGCAGGCCAGCCCTCGCAAGCTCCTCAGTTCACAGGAAGGCATTCTGGGCCGGAGGGGGATGGGAACTCCCCCCACCATGGGGAGCATCTGCCGAGGGCTATGTCCGGCTTTCTGGATTACCCATGTTCCCTGCTCACCAGCCCCAGAGCCCCTGGCAGCTTGAAGGTGCATTTCATGTCAGCGCTCCAGCCCGTTTTCCCCGAGGCTGGCACCTTTTCTAGCCCCACCCCGCCTCCCCCAGATGGCCAAGGTCACGCACAGGTGCCATGGACCAGACACTTCCCTATCTGCTGTCTCCACTGAGCCCTCCAGGAAGTTACAGCGCATGAATTATTTAGCAGCTGCACCATGCAGGGCTCTGACCTCATCCTCCTTGGGCTCAGGGTGCGGCTCTGACCTCATCCTCCTTGAGGAAAGGGTGCTGGTGGGCAGAGGCTGGCTCCTGTCCCTCTGGAGTAACGGGTAGTAACGAGAGGCACTGGTGCCCTTGGGAAAGGAGGCGGCCTGCAGCGGCCCCGCTGCCCTCACAGAGGACGTAGACCAGAGTGAGTGATGCGAGGACCTGGGTTCACCTGTGGCCTGCCATCTCCGATCCTGGGCAGCTGCCTCAGACTGGGACATGGGAGGACACCCTGGATTCGAGTTTGGCATCAGGCCCTCCAGGTGCCTCCCTGTGTCACTCCCAGGCAGGACTTCGGCCTGCTGGCTGTCCCGAGTTTAAACCCAGACAAGCTGGTCTCCAGACCAGGTTCACGGTTGGCCGCCTTTGGGGGGTGCAGCCCCCCCCC